TATTAAGTTTTTTTAATGTTATTAAAGATAGTTGTTCATTATATTTTTTCACACGTTTATTATTTAGATATTTTAATATTAATATTTTTTATATTTTAAATAATATAAAATATTATTTCCATAATTATATCTATAAATAAAATTTGTTAAATAAAAAAACTTATATTTCTCATATTTTATGATTATATAGAAATACACATAATAAAATTCTAGTATAATAGCATGATTTAAGATCAAATATATATATATATATATATATATCCATATATATGTTTCAGTCTTTTTATCAAAAAATAGTTTTTTAATTGGTGATTTTAGATTTGGAAATTTACATTTATATTTGCTTATACTATTTTATAATTTATCCAATTTAGTTTTTAGACCCATATTTATTAACTCTATTTTTTTTGTAAATATTTTAAATTAAAATTAAATAAATTGATCAATTTGTTGTTGTTGTTTTTTATTTATTTATTTATTTTTTAATGTATTTTTTTAAATTCTCTTCAAATTGAAAAGACTTGAATGCAAAAATTTAAATAATTATAAGTGAGAATATAATGAAATGATTTAATTTATTTTATATTATTCATTTAACTAAAAATTATATGAAATAATAGTGTCTTAATTTTTTTTGATATATTTTTCTAAATATTAATAAAGAAATTGCTATATTAATTTGCTAATTAAGGAGGACATCATATAGAGGAGGTGATGTGATAGAAATGCAGGCAAGCAAGTAAGAGCTTTGACAACACCCAAGTAGAGTCTTAAATTGGGGAAAGAATGTTGGGGTTATAAAAATAGGTACAACCCATCCATTTTAGGCACCATAGATATGTAATACATGTATAGCCATAGGAGGACAAGAAGGTCCAACTCTTCCTTTTGAAGCAAAAAGGTCTCTTGGAAAGTGTCAATTTAACAACTCAAAGGTATTGCATTAAGAAGATCCTATAATATAAGAACTTAATTAATTTCTAAGTAACTATTATATATATAATATAAAGATATTTACAATATATATATATATATATATATATAATTTATTAAATGGATGTATGCTTTCAATTAAATTATAATTATATATACATATAAATTTAATAATGTTTATTGCAATATCAATGCATTATTCTTTATAAAATAAAAAAAATTGATTACAAATGTCTTTTTGGTTTAAATTTCATTTTTTTCTATGTTGATTGCATGCACATTATATTATTTAAATTTATTAATTAATATCTCTTAATTACTATTTTAATGTTATAACAAAAATATTCTAATATTCTTTTTGGCTGATTTGGTCAAACTAAATTTTTTTGATAGCTATTAAGTTACTTATAAAACGAATTTGCTTCTAGTTAATGGTATGAAGTCTTTATGAAATTAACTTTTTCTAAATAAAATCTTATTAAGTTGTAAGTAATCATATTAATTCTAAATCACTAAATAAGAGATACATAAAATTTTAAAAATAAAAAACATTCAATTATATATATATATATATATATATATATATATATATATAATTAAAATCCAATTGATTTAATTTATGGAATTTATTCAATATTTTATTTTTTTATTTCTAATTTTTTAAAAGAAAATAATGAATAGATGTTATAATTAAACATATCCAAGATTAAAAAAATAAAATTTTAATATTTAAATTTTTATTTTATTTTATATTATTTTTATTTTTATAATATGTATTATAGAAAATATCAAATAATTTAAAACTAAAAGTAGCACACAAAAATGGATATATAAATATGAGATTTTTTGTGATCCTTAGAGATCCGCTAATTCAATTGAAGTAAAATTATGTGAGAATATAGTGAGCTTAGGTATCTACATTTTTGCCAATTTCGAGAGCAATAAAATGGTGCAACAAGAAGTAATTACTACTTCAAGAGAAATATCCAGTTTGGAGAAGGAGGACCATCAACAATCAAGAGTAATAAGAGCTACATTTCTTCCAATGGGTGATTTATTTATTTTTCAAACTTTGTGTGCTTGATGATTGCTTTAAATATTTTATAGATTTTTTTTCGTTAAACTTATATTTTTTGAGTTGCATCTTTTATTTTTATATTAATTCTTAGTAAAAACTTGCTACATATTTTAAAATTGAGTATTCAGTTAAAAAAATATTTATAAAATATAATATTAGATTGAAAAAATTGAATATATATTATTTTATTTTAAAAATAATGAATATTAATAGCTAAAAAATAATTCTACTTATATGGGGACAAGATATATGTTTGATAGTCTTACTGATAATGGATATTAAATTATAAGTGACGTTGTATTATTCTATTCACTTGTCCCATGTGTCTCTTGTTATAGGAAAAGGTTATTTTATTTGATTTTTGATTTTTATTTTTTTAGAATATAATAAAATCCTTTTATAATTTTATCAATATTAGAATAGATTCTAACTTCTAAAATTTTCTTCAAATAAAAGATATAAAAGAAGTTCATTATTTAATTTTATATGCAAAAACACTAAACCTACAATACTTTTATGTTGATTTTTTTCTATAAAATTGACTACTTAATTTTAAATTACATAAAATTAGAATTTCTATAAATTTAATTTATAAAAAAAGAATTTATTGATTTAAAAATTAATTCAATTAGTTAAATCTATACTTTTATTGATTAGTTAATAATATTTGAAGTAAAATATAATATTTTATTTATATATATGATTATATTTTTGAAGTATTCAAGTATATTATCATTATAATTCTTTAAATATTATTATTAAGTTACAATTGCTTTTATTTCTAAAGTAGCTCAATATATGTATCTATGTTTTATTATTATTTTTATTTTTTACAATTTTTTTTTATTTTTTATTTTTTTTATTATTATTATGAAATTATTATATAGATTTTTTGTGTTCATAATAAAATTTATTTATTTATTTATTTTTAATTTTAATGTCTTTTATTTGATTTTAATTTTATTTAAAGGTATTCATTGAAAACTTATTTTATTTGATAAATGATTTAGAAGGAATGAGATTTTTAAAGATTGAAAATCTTAAAATATAGTAATACTACTAAAGCTATTCTAAAGGTAAAAATTTATAATTATTTTAGGAAAAATATTTTATTTTTAAATTACTTTTTTCTTATTATTTAATTTTCTAATTATATTATTAGTATTGAAATGTGTTATGCATTGAAGATTATCTATTATATGAAAAATATGTGGGTTCATAGTTTAATTATGCTTTGAAGTTTTGAAACTAAATTGTTTTAAATTTTTAAATTTAAAAATATGGGTTAAAATATATGGATTAAAATATATGGATTAAAATTTAAAACAATTGTTTTAAAGTTTTAAATTTTAAATTATGTATGAGAAACTCTTTTTAAAAATTATTTGATTTAATATAAACATTATTGAATATGTACTTATATTTCTTAAATACATGTAAAAATATTGAATTATTAAAATATTATATAAATGTATAATAAACACATGTAAATTTGAGAGATTTAGTCTTCTATTTTTAAAGGTACTTTAGTATTACATTTGAAGAAGATAAAGTAACCTAAGAGATTTGAAATTTAAAATTTATGTGGTTAAATTTTTTATTAGTTTTGACAATAAATTAATCTTATAAGATTTTCTTTTAAATTATTTTGATTTGTAACATATGAAAATAATATCAAATATTTTTTATTTTAAAAATAACTAAATTTATAAAAACCAACTTATTTAGTTTTTTGAATATATATATATATATATATATATATATATATATATATAAGATAATAAAATTATTATTATGCATAAATATTTTTCTTATTTTATTTTTTATGATCTTAACATACATCATCATTAAAATAATTTATACATACTTGAGGAGCCATTATATTTTTAATTTTTTATTCAAAAAACTAAAAATTAATTTTAATTTGAATTTATTTGCTTTTCAAAAAACCCCTTAAGAAGAATGAAACAATCAACAATGAATAAGATAATTTAATGTAACTATAACATCATTTACTTGTCAAAATTTAAAAAATCATGTATAATATATATTCTCCTCTGCATTTTTAATTTTTTTTATATATGTAATTTGTAAATTTTTTGAGACAAAATATGTATAAAATAGAATGACATATCTTAACTATACAAACTTTTGAAGCCTTTTGTGCCATCTTATGGTTTTTTTTGTCAAACTAAACCAAAATATCTGTTTAAAATAAAATAAGCCGCTTAGTGGTGGAATTCTTATATATAAATCTCTCTCTCTCTCTCTCTCTCTCTCTCTCTCGATATATAGAAATCTATATATTGTTATGTTTTTCATTCAAATCGAGGATAGCGCCATATTTTAACAGTTGAATAATACATGATAAGTAAAATTAGAATAATCACGATTTATACATCTGCTAATACTGATTTTTATCATTTTCACATCACAACCTTTGGCCAGAGAAGTGTGCATTATATTTGTTTTAGGTTCAGCAGTGTGATGCTAATTACTTGTTGGACGTCAGATCATTATAATTCTATTTTGTGCTCCATAGATGGTACAAGAAACAAGATAAAAATAAAATAGAAACAAAAATGACGAGGGTCAGAAATAACTTTAAACTGTCTAAGGAAGGCAAGTTTGCAAAATAGCATAATAAAAAAGGTACCCAGCTTCGAAATCACAACTATGCATGATGAAGCAAAGAAATATATATTAAAAGGATAATAACAAAAACCGTGTAAATTTTCACAGTGATAACTCATCCACCAACCATGTCGGCGCCGTTGTGCTAGCACCGACAGCAGCTGGTGGTACGAAACGGTGGCAGATGCAACCCCAATCTGTCAGACATTCAACTCAACAATCGACACAGAATAGCAGAGAGCATCTACGACTAGATCAATGTTACGCTACATTACTCAGCATCTGAGGTACAGAATTCTAGAGAACACCACCATCAGTCTGGCCAGGCTTTGAGAGATCGATGTGCATCGACAGACACGTTGAATCAGAAGGTTGTTCTCCTAAACTGTTTTCGGCACAAAGAAGTAACGTTTTCAAATGTGTAATTTGGTGAACACAGCAAACACACAGCCAAGCTTGAGTCACTGAGAACTGTGAAGTCACCTGTGACTCACTCTCTACCAATCTGTATAATATATCTGTTTATTTTTAGTTCCACCATGCGAGGTATGCTTCCCTTGCAGCAATTAAACAGCAGAGCATGAAGCATCCTGCCCTGAATCTAATAACTTATGTACAGGTTCTCTGATTTAGTCCATGTTGAAGGTGAGAGATTCCAAGTAGTGGATTACATCTCGAATCTGACATGATGCTAGATCAACCCAAATTTGCTCAATTGTCCTTGCGGTCAAACCAGAAATCAGGGGAGTATTTGTGAGTTATTTGGGGATTGTACACATCCTGCTACTGATCTGCAGGTGATGAACGATCCGCGGCGGCGACTAATTCATCAGCTGTAGATCTCGTTCAAGAATGAGTTGTAACAGTCACCGATCTCCAGTGAATTCATGTGAGTACCGAAGTCGAGGATATTATCGAATGTATCGAGGTAGGAGCTGCTGAAATTGTGGCTGTCCTTGAGGTTCGACATGCTAGTGGTCCACCGTCCATTGGTTTCGTCAGATGCGTGCTCACCCGAAACCATATCGGAGTTGCTCGAGCTTAGGGAGGAACTCGTATTGGTGCTGATAATCTCTTGTGATGCCCCTGTTTCAGAATCAGAGAAGATCATTCGCTGCATGTGATCGTTACTATCATCAACTGCACGACTGACTTGGAAAGAATAGTTCATGGCGGGACGGTTGACCAGAGGACAATTGCTGCTCACGAGGGTGTTCCCCACATCGAAGCCACTGGCGGTTGATATGGCGCCAGTGTACGTGCTCTCTCCCTCAATGCGTATCACGCTTGGCAGCTTAGAGAGCAGAGCCTGCAAGCTGGACATAGAGGGGAGCACGTTCAAAATTGGTAGACCTGCCCCACCTTGTAGATTTCTGTGCCCTGTGCCCAAGGATTTGGGAGGGGACGGACATTCAGGCTGGTGCTTAAAACCACCGCTGCCGTTCATGTACGAAGGTTTCTTGAAACTTAGCGACGAAGGCTCCGACTCCGGGGGCCGCTTCACACCGAGTACTGTGGTGCCGCTGGAGGAGAACCAGAGCTGGGGACCAATCTGTGGAGACAAGAACTGGTCAATCGACCGAGGAGTCAGGTGAGGAATCGACGTGTATCTGTCACAGTCAGACGGTGCCATCCAGTAGTTAGGATCGAAGGGTTGGAACCCGCCGTTCTTCAATTGCTTCTTCCTTCCGCACTGATTTGGGTGGGGCAAATACACCCTTGGGACAGATTGTAGGTTGTTGAACCCTCTTTGCGTGTGGAGTACAAAGTTTAAGTCCTCCAGTATCTGTGAAACAATAAAATTACCAAAGATTTACAACTTTGTAAAAGGGGTATACAGAATTTTCTAACATTGACGCGTTCAGTAAGAACTTAATATTACACCTACAAATACCTTGTACAACAGACAGGCAGGAGAATATACCGTCTTGTTAGAACCTAATTGAAGGACGCCTTCTTGAACTGCCACCACTGCAATGGTCTCGATTCCAGACTTAAACTGCGCCTCCCATGCGCGTGGGTGCTGCAATAGATTAAATTATCACAACTCATTACAAAGAAAACTGTTAACCTAAGATACGTGAGGCTATGACTAGTCTCTTGTAGTGACAGCGGGCTTTAGCAGCTTGTAATGGGCATTTCAACTTTTTATGAGAACGAGGGACTTACAGGGTCGAGCGAGCTATGCCACTGCGAGAGGAAGCTAAACTTGTGCTCCTCAGGCTTGCGGTACACCCACTTGTGACTGCTGTCAGCGGCCACCTTTCCAACCAATCTGTAAAATTTTAAATCTCCAAAAAGTTACTGCCAATCTTCGACATCTCGTACATACGACGCAGTCTTCATCTTTATTACACACCATGAAGGACAAAGAGAACGATGACAAGTTCAGGTCAGAGACAGTAGACATTTGAAGCTGAGAGGATTAAGGAATGTCATGTACCCTTCTCCGTAGTTGTAGACGTCGTGAGACATTTTGAAGAAAAGATCTGGGCTCATGCCTTCTCTCTCGTGGTCGCTACCTTGTGGCCACGGCTGGGCAGCTTGAAAAAAAGGTAGCGCTCCCCTAACATCCTTCACTGCGCCAGCGGCACTTGTCGAAAAGTTGCAAAATCCATCCTCCCACACTAAAATCCTGCGCATCTTCCTCTCCCTCAGTGGCAGCCTAGAATGCCATAGATATATTTTATACAACCAACTAGTTTGCAATCCTCAAGCTAATCTATGTTTTGATGAAGTGTTTATATTTGCATTTGATAAGTAAAGGATGCGTACCAGTTGCGTTTGTTGCCTTTGGACCTATCCATCGAATCCCCTTCATTGTCCCATCTGCAGCAAAAGCCTGACTTCCATGAGAAAGAGCTTAAGTTCCTTAGAGACATGGTCCTGGACTTCAGAAAGGCTAGCACCGCCTCCTCTTTGAGATCTCAATAAATTCTTCCACTAATAGCATTGTAACTGTGTGTTGTGGAACTTCTATATAAGAACTGCAGCTCAGGACTCTCTAAAATCAAAACAATCACTTGAAAAAGTTGGTTAACGTAGAGGGCAAGCGTTTGAGTAGTGCGAGCGCAGAAATCTAACAAACTGAGATCGCTCTAATCTTCTAGATCACAGCTGCTTCTTCAGCTAGATTCTCGGGAACCAGTTAAAGGAATTGGCGGCGGAGATGAGAATCTCTGATTCTATTTTACTACTGGTTAATATGGCATTGTAGCTCGGGCTTTTAGACGATAACGTTAAGCCTGCAAGGTCAATGACTTTTGTGCAAAATATTTCGGTGCACATTATTTCAGAAACGAATTATTTGCTGCAAGATTATGAAATCACTTAGTATTCGCTTTGGTAAGACATTTCTGAAAGCTAGTAGAGGCAATGATTCACAAAAGACTTAAGCTGGAAATTTGTGAGAGAATGAATTGGATGTTTGAAAGCAAAATTAAAGGAGAAGGGCAAGTAGGAGGACAGAGTGGAGGAACGCACTGTGGGGGAGGGTAATTGCGCGGCAAAATACGCCAGAAGACTGCATAAACCCATTGCATCTCGGTGCAAAGCATGCGGAGAGTGTGCTGTAGCTGGTGGTTCAGCATCGGCAATCCCTGTCTAGCGTCCATTCTGAAAATGGGATTAATTCTTGTGGTTCACTACTGTGGAATAATTATCCTCCAACCACCAAATTGATTTCTATCAGATTATCAGACGCTGAAGAGGTTGAAGGACTGCGATAGCCGGAGAAATTATTGGAATAAAACCAATGGAAAAACCTATGTCTTGGAGTCAAACGTCACCGATAATCTACTCAAGGATTTTACTCAAAGTGAAGGTCAGGCAATCTAAGTGCATCTTCGATAAAAATGCATCTCAAATTCTCCAAAACTTTGGTTTCCTCACGGACAAGAGAGGTAGAGATTCTTGAGCAAGGTGCACCACAACTAGGTGAATGGGGTAAATTGAACATAAAAAGTTGGGTCGTGATTAGCGTAACTAGTACTTCACTGCGATAAACCTAGTTGTAAATTAGTTGCAAAGAAATGAAGACAGGATGATCGATTCTCAGGTAGGCCAAAAACAGAAGATATTTCGGTGGAGCAACTCCGAGTGCAGATCATGCCAGTGACTGCTCCAAGTATTAGCTTTCAAAACTGACAAAGCTACAGCGCTGTGTACCTACTGAGCTCAAATATGTACTGATCGGATTTAATGGGTTGCGAATGGTGTTCGCAAATGCAGTTGAGTAGGAACGAAGATTAGATTAGCGGCGCATCCCAGCATCGATTGCCCTCTCAACAACTTCTGACATTGCTTTGCTTTTCGATTATTGCCGTGATGATCACTACAAATACAACTTTTAGTATCAATTAAAAACCGTCACAAAGCTCCTAGAGTCCCCTGCTAATGCTTGAAAGCACTCCATGACAGCACTCCTCTCTTACAGTCGTCACGAATGACGCTTCGAAACACGAAGGCATTTAAACCGCCTTGCTCGTATCTGTAAGAGTCAGTTAGAAGCTAATTCTTCAGACCTGATCATGGTATTCTACATGTACTCTAAGTTTTCATTCAATCACTAGAATAAGAACCTCGCCCATGTAGCTCTAGCTTCAAGATTAACCAGTGCCACAAGTAATTCACCTCCAGTACAAAATAAAACCTCTCGGTGATCAGTCTAACAAGAAGCCACTCCCACCCACAAACATCATAACCCTCATGCACCGACGACGTTCACCTCTCCACTTTCAGCCACCTGACGCCCCACCACTCGGAATTCAACAGCCCCCAGCTAGAACCTATCAAGCTTTAATTCCAGTGGAAGCCTGAGACAGTGCACCGGAACGAAAACCTCCACCGCACACAGGAATCACCAGTATTGTGCCGAGCAACTGGTTCACGCCACAGTTCCACCCCATGCAACAGCCAACACCAAGATCTCAAGCGCGTCACGCATCCAATATCATCAAAAGTGACGAAGATGATACAAACCACCACATCTCTTCTCTGGCACGCTCACCTCCCACCAACACCTCCAGCATCCCTGAGAGGACCTGCGGATGGACTGTCTGAAACGATGCACAAGCAAACACAAGCTGGGATTGTACCAAGTGCGACGGCGCGTCAATGCTCTGGCGTTTCGATGGTAGGAAACTGGTCGCAGCGAGGAGGATGAGGAGGAGGACGGCGATGGATGAATGTGTGTTTGCGTGATAGATGGATGTATGTGTAGATAGATGATGGATGGATGGATGGATGGATGGTCAGAAAAGGGCGATGTGACCTCGCGGACTCTCCGAGATTGCAAGCGGGCCTTGGAACGAGGGGTGGCCCCTTATAATGGCGGGTCCTCGCTTTGCACCTCAGACGGGAGATCCGACATCCTAGTCACCTGCAGTGACGTGGAGCAAGCTGATTGACTGTATATTTGGAAAGCTGGACAAAAAGGAATAAAAAGGTTAAAAAAACATTTAAAAATTCTTCCGGAAAATCTTGACGATCCAACGTGGTCACATTATTAGCAAATGAACACACACACATATATATATATATATATATATATCTATATATCTGTACATATATATTATTTTTTTAATTTCGTATGCAAATAGGAAGTTGTGTATATTGACAAATTCTTGAATCAATGTTTTCTCAGAACTTGGTGTCGATAGAATGAACGTTCCAATTCTTTGATGGATTTGATTAAAACCAGATTGTTAGTAAAACTTTAATGTGGGGTTGATCCCACTTTCAATATTTTAGAGGAGAAATTTGTTGCTTGAATTTCATGTATTTTTTTTTCAAGAAAAAATAAAGATGAAACTGATTTTTATGTAATTTTATTTCATTGTCCATTAACCATAAGCCTTTTCTTTCTACGTCTTTCCTTATTTTGTGATTGTGGTTTATGTTTTTAAGCTATGTAATTTTTTTTTATGTTTGAATTTATTTTAATATCATTGTGAAGTCTCAAAATTGGTAATTTTTTTAATATATTCTTCACAATTAATGAGGCCTTCCAGCTTTGAACAATCTTCAGCCCCCAAAACATCATGGTTTAACATCTTACTCAATTCTCGAAATGTACGGTTGCTGTTATCAATAACAGTAACATTAATTCTTGTTGGGATTAATTGTGTTCAAATTTAACCATGAGTATGTAATTTTTATTAAAAACCACTTGCAGTAGGATTTCAAAATTGATTTCCTTTAACGAAGTTTGCTATTTCTAAGTTGAGATGATGTCAATTGATAGAGTAAACTTATGTTCTTATAATACTTTTTGTAGAATACTGTCAAATATACGTTACTTTTTTTTTGAATTTTTTGAATTTTTATGTGTAAGATTTTTCAGAAATCGGTATAATTAAGTATGGCAAATTAATCATATTGCATGATTAACTTTAAATGGAAGTTGATATATTTAAAGCATATTTATAATAGATTTTTTATTTCTTGTGTTTATTTTAATTATATATTTATTTTATATAAATTTCTAGTTTTTAACTTGTTAATACTTTTATTGTAGATTTACTAACTTAGAACAAATTAAACCATAAAATTATAATTAATTTATATATTAAGAACATAAAAATTTGAATAAAAGAATTTTTGAATTAATATAATTTAGCATTTTTAGTAGTAATAGCATTGATTAATTTTATAAAATATCTTGATTTAAATTAGAATTTTTATTTAATATAATTGTCACATGATGTAGCATTGAGTGTCAAATCTTGTTTGATGTATGTAATATAGTTTAATTTTAGTTATTTTTTTTATTCATTTAGCTATTTTTGTTAGTTTACTTTGTTAATATCAACTAAGATTTAAATACTTAGGTAGAAAAATCTCTTTCACTTGACATTCTTATCTAATCAAGACTTTTGAGTAATTTTGAGAAAAAAATAGCATGTATGAAGAAGGTTTGTGAAACGGTGTCGTGTTGCAACATGACTATATGGTGAAAATATAAATGGAAAAGATTTATTAATATTTAGTCATCTTGGATGTTAGAAACAGTGGCCAATTTTAGTGCCAATATTCAGAGGCCAGTTAATGTCACTCCATTGCAGCTCTACCACTGAACATGACAATAGTGTATGCTCCACCGACGTCATCGAACTAAGTATCCTCCGTACCAACGGGACGACCAAAATCATTTTCTAACCCTATATGGAATAAGCATAGTAGATATATACCGGTGGAGACACCCAATATGCCTGATGGGGAGCAAGAAGACCACTTCGTTGTTTCTGTTGCAGACAGAATGGTGATTATGCTAGTGAATGTCTCAATTCCAGAGTCATTGACAATTACGCGCCAGTATATGGGAATAGCAAGCAATCGAGGCATACTTATCAGCAATGTAATGTTCCATTTAATTTCAATAATCGGGATCAACAGATCCAAAAGCAAGGAAAAAATTGAGGAGATAAATCAAGGTCCTCAAGATTCTTCGGTAAATCAGGTGGAATGAGTCTGAGCCGTTCTTACCAAGAGTTGGCAAAATGAGAAAGGACCAATTTCATATCCAAGTGAGTCTAATGTGAAGGGCCAATTTGACCCAATTATGGGACATCCAATCCAAGTCCTATTATGGGCCTCTTACCCAGTATGAGACTTGACTCGGTTGGACAATCCAATGAGGTCCCGAATACGGAAGCTTCGGTTCCATTTCAAGTTGTTCCAATTTGGAGTCCAAGGCGAAAGAATAGGGGACCTCATGGAGTTAAAGGAAAGGAGAAGAAAAGGAAGAGGGCATTCAGAGATCGAGATTTTGCGATCAGAGAGCTAGCTTCAAGCTCCTTCGAAAGGTGTAGAATTGGATTTCATAGGATTTGGAAGCACTTTTGTAATTATTGCTAAAAGTCGATGTTTGTATTGGTGATTTGAGTTTTTTTTTGTAATAAGGTTAAGGCTAGTACTCTTGACTGTTTTGTAAAATTGGAGAAACTTCTGCAGTTGAAATTTAGAGGTGTCTAGATGGTTGAGTATGTCTAGTGCATGCAAAAGTTTGTGTTAATCTGACAGAACAGATAGAGGATATTTGACCATTAGTATAAAGAGGTATCGAAAGTTAGCAGATTGGAATTGTTTAGGATTTCTGTAATATCTAGAGATCTATCGACTCGAATAAGGTGACTTTTGGCGTGGTAAGTCGAGGACTTCTAAGTGGCGGTTAAGATACATCAGTGTGGATTTACGGCATTTTCTTGCAACTTATAAGTTAGATTGGATATAAACTTCTTAAGCTTTTAGAAGGCTTGCAAAGATACTAGTGATAGAAGTTTACAACAATTGGACAGTTAGATTGAGAATTACAGCTTTTCGAAGCTTGTTGTCTAGGATTAGGATTAAAAATAAAATAAAAACTAATAAATAACAAAAGATTTTGTGCTTATAATATCTTGAAGTTATTAAAAATAGTATTTCTGAGCACTTTATATTGGGATTAAGCTTTTATATTGAAATCCAAAATAGTTTGTATTTAGATGGTTGAAATCTACTAGCCTACTTAGATACTTATAAAACATTATTTTATCTTCCACAGCTAAACGCCCGGTGCATTCTCAAGCAAGATAATACGTAATACGACATAAGTGGTGAATCCAACATGAAACGCTTGAGGTAGAAGGTATTAGGATTCGTTTATTTTTGTTTTTATTTTATGGAGAATGAGAATAAAAATTTTGAAGGAGCTTCAAGTGGAGCTTCTTCTAAAGGACAAGGTATGTACATGGATTTGTCCTTTGTTGGTATGTTTCAAGCCTTATCATTATCTATGCAGCAACAGCAAAGCAATGATCGCAAACAAGCTTTAGCAACCAAAGCTTTGCAAGCAGTGGTCAATAAAATTAACCAGTTTGATGGAAGGGATATTTCAAAGTATTTAAGATGTTATGTTCAGGAGATGGAATTAAATCGGGTTTCTGAGAAGAAGATGGTTGAATTATTTGGAGTAGCCATGATACCGGAGATAAAAAAATATATTATCTCGATTATGGAGCATTATGGAAATTCATGGGATGTTTTTTCATATGCATTAAAAGAAAAATATTTCTTGGAAGACACTGATTGTGTTACTAAGAAACTATTTCTATAATGGATTGAGTGGCCTAATAAGAATTTGCAAGCAATACAGCTACTAACGAAATTTGAGAGGTAGTATTCTCAATTATCAAAGGTAGAAAAGTTGACATTAGAGCCGAATAAGGTTGAATTATTTCTTCAAGCTGTTGATGGACAATTATAAGGAAAATTGGAGTTGCTTCTTGAAGACAAAGAAGAAGATGAAGGATTGACAACAAAGTGGAAAAATATTGAAAATGTGGTGGATTTGCTTGCAAAAAGAGAAAGGAGGAAGGATAGGAGTAATATCCCAAAAGCAGTACGAGCACCTAAAAATCCAGTATATACAATATGACCGACAATGCCTATTGTTCAACCTTCGACATCTTTATCAAAGAAAAGAGAGATGGAAATTGAAGAAATTATACATGGAATGTGAGATCTTCAAATCAAATTAGTAAGAGTTGAAGAAAATACTTCTACAAACAATTTGAAGAATGTTTCAAAACAAAGGTATGTACAAAGATGTATCTGGTGTGATGACGTTTCACATACTAGGAAGGATTGCAATGAATTTAATAATTTGGTGTAGCAAGGAGTTATTTATTGGAAAGATGGAAAGATTGCATTAAAAGATATAAAGAATCTCTTTCAAACCAATTTTGGCAAAGGATGTATGAGAGCATTGATTCAAAATTATTTAATAAAACATAGAATAGCAACACAAGAGAGTACAAGTTATGGCGCTAGAGTAGATGATGACTTTGGTGGAAGTATAGAAACTAGTAAATTTTGGGCTTCTGCCATTTCCACGATGTAAAAAGAAAAATGCCTCGGAAAGCATTATTGAGGACTGCAGCTAGAATACGAGGTGCAATAGGTTGGAAAGATCTTGTTGAATGTATTTCAATTCATGCATATATTGCTAAGAGCCAACATGAAGCTTTGATGGAAGAAAAGAGACGAAAATTTTTTGATGTTATAAGAGAAGGAAATTCTTCTAAGAGGCAAACTCGAGGAGACAAGGCTCGTGAGGAGGCTTCACAAGAATTGCCTATAAAAGATACTTCAACATCATTGAAAGAAAAAACAAAGGAAATAAAATATAAGAGTAAATCAATTGCTTATAAGCTACTTTCTGATATCGAAGCGGCAACAAATTTAAAAGGGGTATTGGAAGAACATATATTAAATGCTAAGGTAGAATTTACATTGAAAGAAATTT